TTTTTGTTTTCCGATTTTCATATCTTTCGATCCGTAGATCGGATCAATATGATTCCTTCGGCAACGTTCTAGATCGTGTTACAGGCTACGTCCTAGTATTCTTTTTATAATTTTTTTCTTGACTATCGGAGGATTTAAGAACGCCGGAAGTTCGCTCACCGTTCTCGGATGACCCTCGGATCTCTGCCTTTGGGTTGAGGTCTCGGCCAAACTTCTTCACAGACCGTGCGTGAGTTGTTCCTAGGTGAAGATTTCAACATTTTAGGGTCGATTCACGTAGGGGAAAACTCAGATCTGAGCAATATCGTTCAGAAACCTTACCCCGCGAAATGTTCTTAGGCTTTGATGGTGCGTAGGCCTTGATAGCCCCTCAATCCTGGTACGAGCCTCGTCTGGAGATGGATTCCGGCGGTGGTCCGTTAATCTTCCCGGCCAACCTCTCTCTAACCTCTTCTTTCTTTTGCAGGCATTCTTTTTAATCACTATCTGGATTAGCTCTTAATGTTCAATATATCATTGCATGGGCCAATTCTTTCCTCTTAATGATCTGTGCTAGTGCACTCTCTAACACAAATGCTAAGGCGAGTGAAGTCCCAACTTAGTAACTCATGTGCCTATGGCTCGGTCTACCTCAACTCTAATAAATTGTCCTGGCCATAATCTTAAAAATTTCAAGTAGATTCAAAGCTCAGATCTTGTGTTGATATTAATGTTGGAATAACTTAGGTATAATATTCACCCTTAATTCAAACCTTCCTACTTTCTTCGAGGTGACTTGTTTGCTTCCTTTAACTAGATCATGACTTGATTAGTCTTTATGTGTTACTTTATCTTTTAAGTCACGGACTTCAAATCTTGCTGAAGTGTAACGACCCTAAAACAATGTCTCATGCTCATGCTCATCTATCATGCAGAAATATAACTCTTACATGAACATAATTTATAACGTAAACTTAAAAAAGAAAACGTTTAAAACAACTTTTTCTCTGGAAAACACAGCCATGGTCTTACGTGTTTAAATATGAAATACTGAAATTCATAGAAAACAAAAACAAATACAAAATAATTTAAAACAATGAAATGCAAACAACCTATTCTAATTTAAGACTAGAAATTTAAATATGAATCTAGCCTATGCACGTGCCACAGTCTCTTCTCGCGATGCCGCCATCCTCCGTACAAGTGCACCTTGCCTTTACCTGAAAAATGATGTGGCACACGGCCTGAGTATTTCAAA